TTTGTGTGTTTGCCCTTTTTTTTTATGGCTAGCAATAACAACACACTGATGCTGCTACCATGTGCTGTGCAGCCAAAGCCCATACAGCTCACTGCCCTATGAGACAGACCTGTTCTCTGACCCAAAGAATACTGCATGTAACGCTGCTGAACAGACACGTTCCTCCGTTACTCTGAATATGAGTACTCTAATTACTTTTATGCAACCTTACTGCTTTTCTTCTTTCATTTTTACTAGGAGCAAGTCGTCTTTAGTGCCACATGAACGATTGGCCTTCTGAATGTCGATCTTCAGGATAGAAGAACAAAACCAAACATTTACAGTTTAACACGTTAGCAGGACGGCAAGGTAATATTATCATAAGTTAATAACGACACGCGTCTGTATGTGATATTTACTATTTTAGTATGTTAACAAATGCTAGCTGATGGGGACTAAACCACAACTGAGCACCTGCTGCTTGAGTAAAGAGGTTTATTTAGACCTCATGAGCTGCATCGCCAAAAACAACAGTGTTGCCTTCTGACCTGAACAGAAGTATAAGAAGCACAAGACTTCAGGTTTAGAATAAGACAGACAAAATATACTGCTGTACTGTTGTGTGAAAACATCAAATGCACATTGTGCATGACTCAGTAAGTTGTGGAACCACATTGGCCTCTTTAAGCTGTTTGCAGACATTTGTTTATGCACAGCTCTCTGAAGGATTTCATCACAGCATTTCCATCAGGTTGAGGTCCCGAGTACCAGTGTGCCCAGTGTGCGCAGTGCCTGAGCACCTTGCAAATACTGAGTATGAGGTGTTTGTGCTGATATGTTGTGCTTGTTTTTCGCCAGATGTGGTGCTGTGCATTATCTGGCGAAGTCTTGTCGTTTGTTCAGATGCAGTTTTACAATCCTGCACCGTGCTGCCATGTTCATTTTAGAGAGAAGACGCTTTCTTCTGACAATCCTCCCATGCAAGCCATACTTTTTCATTTTTTCTAATAGTGATGTCATGAACTTTAACATTAAACATGCTAAATAAAGCCTGTAGAACCTCTCAGCTGTAGCTCTTGGTTTTCTGCAGTTCTGTGACAAACTGTGACGTTGTTGGGACACACACACGAATGCTCCAGATTTACAGAGGTGGCCACACTTGCTGATCATCAAGAGTTAATCAAATTTACATTTAATTAGAAGCACCTAGCTGTACTTACCTTCTCAATTCTTATGGAGGCAGTAAGGTGTTCTTAGTTTATCACAGCACTGCACACATGTGTGTGAGGTTGTAAAGTGTGCAGGGATAAAAAAATATGATAACATTTTGTAGGAAGATGTGTTTTAAATCAG